AAATACTTGTTGCCACCTCTTGTTTGTACAAACTTTAAATCATATATATCACTGTGAATTAAATCAAGTGATTTCGTATTTCGTTCAATTGACTTAAATGATGACCTAGTCAATTTTGCTTCAACACAAGTCTCACACTTATGTTTGGAATCAACATGGAATGCTGGTATGCATTTCAAGTTAACTAGCCTACGTAAAGTATCATATTTAACGTGTCCTAATCTACCATGCCACACATTGGAAGACTTAAGCAAGTAAACAGAAGCATTCACTTTATTATTCATTTTAGGTTTAACAACCATTACATTGAGTTTAAACATTCCATCGGAAATATAACCTTTACCAACAAACATTCCACTTTTCGACAAGGTGACCTTGTCTGACTCAAACACAATGCCGAAACCATACTTATTCAAAAGTGACCCGGACACAAGGTTCTTACGGATTTTCGGCACGTACAGCAGACTTAAGCAAGTAAACAGAAGCATTCACTTTATTATTCATTTTAGGTTTAACAACCATTACATTGAGTTTAAACATTCCATCGGAAATATAACCTTTACCAACAAACATTCCACTTTTCGACAAGGTGACCTTGTCTGACTCAAACACAATGCCGAAACCATACTTATTCAAAAGTGACCCGGACACAAGGTTCTTACGGATTTTCGGCACGTACAGCACGTTGTTGAGAGTTAGCTCTTTTTCCGAAGTCATCTTCAGAACCACTTTTTCTTGGCCCCTGATTTCAGAGGTTGCTGAATTTCCCATGAACAACTTCTCTCCATTCTCAACTGCTTCAAAAATAGTAAATAACTCTTTATTAGAGCACACATGTCTTGTAACTCGGGTGTCAATCCACCATTCTTTTGGGGTTAGAACCCACCATGTTCACTTCAGAAATGACTACTGCGAGACTTATCTCCGACACATCATGTGCCATGTAGTCAACCACATTTGCTTCTTTCTTCTTCTTTGGCAATCTGCACTCCGAAGATTTGTGGCATACTTTATCACAATTGAAGCATTTCCCTTGAAATTTCTTCTTAGGAATGCCCCCCTTTTGGTCCCAGCTTGATCCCTTTTCCACCGGATGGCCCAGCTTTGATTTTGTAGTTGACCATGTTCAACAATATTGGCCTTAGCCACACCAAGATTGAACCACTTCTTTTCGGAAATCTTGTTGTCTTCTTCAATTCGAAGTCTAACAATCAGTTATTCAACGTTCATTTCCTTTCGCTTGTGTTTCAGATAATTCTTGAAATCTTTCCACGCGGGA